ATAGATGACCTGCAGCTTTTCTTACAGTGCGACAGAGCAGACGGCCTCTCCCTCTTTGACCTCACTTCTGGTGCCTCTCCTGCCCCCGCTGCTGATGCTGACGCCACTGTTCGCTCACAGTGGGCCACGCGCGATGCTGCTGCACGTCTTGCTGTGCGTCGCCACCTACCTACCTCTGAGCGTGCGCACTTTAGCCAGTACAAGAGTGCTCAGACCTTGTACGACGCTGTAGTTGCACGCTACTCCTCCCCTGCCACTGCTGCACTGAGCCGCCTCATGCTACCGTACCTCTTCCCTGACCTTACTGCCTTTCCCACAGTCGCTGACCTCATTACGCACCTCCGCACTAGTGACACTCGCTACCGCGCTGCGCTTCCTGCTGAGTTCTGCGCCAAGAACCCCCCCCCCATGTACATCACCCTCTACTGCATAGTCACCCGTCTCCCTGTCTCCCTTCGCGTAGTCAGGGACCACTTCCTCTCGGTTTGTCCCACCACTCTCACCGTTGACCTCCTCGAGAAGGCCCTCCTAGCAGCAGAAAAGAGCATAGTCGCTGTAGGAGCCTCTCGTGGTGACCCTCGCACCCCCATCTTTGAGGGGTGTTCCCCCTCCCCTCTTTTGCCCTCTGTTGCCTCTGCTGCTGCGGCCGACCTCGCTGGTTTGGAGTCGGTTGGGGCAGCGTCTACCCCTAGCGGGAGACACTGCCCTGGCAGGGGCAAGGGGGGCAGGGGCGCTGGAGGAGCTAGCGGGGGCGGTGGAGGCGGCGGTGGAGGCGGTGGAGGAGGTGGGGGTGGCGGTGGGGGTGGTGGCGGGGGTGGAGGTGTAGGTGGCGGCAGTGGAGGCGCAGGCGGCAGCGGCGGTGGCGGAGGGAGCGTAGGTGGCGCCGGTGGAGGAGGAGGCGGCGGAGGAGGTGGAGCTGGTCGGGGTGGCGCTGCGCAGAGGGTCAGCTCCGGTGGTGGTCAGCGCCAGCAGCAGCAGCAGCAGCAGCAGCGCACTCGTGACGTCCCCTCCCCTCAGCAGCTCCGTGAGTGGTACACTGCACGCCAGAGGGGTTGGGGTACTGGTCCGTGCACCTACGTCCTGCGCACCGGCGACCGCGCGGGTGAGCAGTGCGGGGGTGCGCACTCCACCCAGCGCTGCTTTGGCCGCCTGACGGACGCTTGGCGTCACCAGTTCCCTGAGGCCACTGAGATCCCCCGCTGGGGTGAGCTGTCTAGGGCGGGTGTAGCTGTCTTTGACCTTGACTTTGATGCTATTCTTGCTGCCATGTATACTGTGACTATTAGTGATGAGGGTGACTGTTACCGGTGGTTTCCGCCCGACCCGGGCATTGAGACTGCTGCTCTAGGTGCTAGCGAGGCTGCTGCTCTAGGTGCGTCTGCTCCCTCAGGTACTGGTGAGTCTGCTCTCTCAGGTTCTGCGTCGGCTTCGGCCTCCCACACCTTTACCCTTGACTCGGGGGCTTCTCGCTCCTTCTTTCGAGACCGCACCACACTCACGCCGCTTGGCCGGCCAGTTGCGGTCTCTCTGGCAGACCCCTCTGGGGGTCCTGTCCTTGCTCACTTCTCCACTGTCCTCCCGTGTCCGGCGGCCCCCTCTGGCACCCTGTCTGGTCTTTACCTCCCCTCGTTCTCTACGAACTTGGTGAGTGGTGCTGACCTACAGGATGCGGGGGTTCACCAGTTCACTCCTGCGAGTCAGCGGGTGACCCACTGCACGGACGCTCGGACAGGCCGACACCTGGCCACGTTTACACGTCGGCCGGGGTCGAGCCTGTACACACTGACCACTGCGTCTCCTCCGGTCCCTGCGTCTGGTCAGGTAGCTGCGTCGGGTCAGGTGTTTGCTGCAGCGTCCAGGTCTGGTCCTGAGTCTGCCCCCTGCTCGTGTCGCCTCCTGTCTCACGAGACTCTCCTCTGGCACCACCGCCTTGGTCACCCCTCCCTGCTTCGTCTCCGGAGCATGGCCTCCCGTGTCCTTGTCTCTGGTCTTCCCCGGTCCCTCCCTCCACTTCCTCCGGGGCCTGGCCCTACCTGCGTCCCCTGTGTCGAGGGACGACAGCGGGCTACCCCTCACTCCTCCCAGTTTCCTCCGACAGAGGCCCCGCTGCAGACGCTTCACATGGACGTGTGGGGCCCGGCCCGCGTCCGTGGACAGGGTCACGAGCGCTACTTCCTGCTGGTGGTTGACGACTACTCGCGTTACACCACAGTCTTCCCCTTGCGCAGCAAGGGTGATGTCACTGAGGTGTTGATCGACTGGATCCGCGCAGCTCGTCTCCAGCTCAGGCGGAGCTTCGGCTCGGACTTTCCTGTTCTGCGTCTGCACTCTGACAGAGGCGGAGAGTTCTCCTCTGGCCTTCTGCGAGCCTACTGTCGTGCACGAGGCATCCGCCAGACCTTCACGCTTCCGGACTCTCCACAGAAAAATGGGATTGCTGAGCGCCGCATTGGCATGGTCATGGACGTCGCCCGTACGTCCATGATGCATGCGGCTGCCCCCCATTTTCTGTGGCCGTTTGCGGTTCGGTACGCGGCGCATCAGATCAACCTTCAGCCCAGGGTCTCCATGCCGGAGACCTCCCCAGCCTTGCTGTGGACGGGGAAGGTTGGCGATGCGTCTGCGTTCCGTGTCTGGGGATCTCGGGCGTTTGTCCGCGACTTGTCTGCGGACAAGCTGTCCCCTCGTGCTGCTCCTTGCGTCTTCCTGGGTTTCCCCCCTGACGCCCCAGGGTGGCAGTTCTACCACCCCACCTCTCGCCGTGTTCTGTCCTCCCAGGACGTCACGTTCGACGAGTCGGTCCCCTACTACCGCCTCTTCCCCTACCGCACTCCGTCCCTCCCCCCGCCACCACTCTTCCTGGTACCAGGTCCCCCCCCGGTAGACCCCCTCCCCCCTCAGGGTCCTGCCCCTTCAGGTGTGTCCCAGGTAGACGCTGTTGAGCCTGTCGAGGTCGCTGGTGACTCTGGTGCTGCTGAGGGTGCTGAGCCTGGGAGTGCTGACTCTGGGGGTGCTGAGCGTGTGGGTGCTACGCCTGGGGGTGCTGAGCCTGAGGGCACTACGCCTGGGGGTGCTGAGCCTGGGGGTGCTGAGTCTAGGGGTGCTACGCCTGGGGGTGCTGCGTCTGGGGGTGCTGAGCCTGGGGGTGCTACGCCTGGAGGTGCTGAGCCTGGGGGTGCGGAGCCTGAGGGAGCTGGGCCTGCTGGTGCTGTGCCTGGCGGTTCTCCGGGTGCTTCTTCTCGCCGGGAGCCACTCTCTCCACAGGAGCTGCGTGAGTGGTTTGCCCGGCGCTGGAGGCGAGCTGCTGGAGCTGGAGGAGCTGCGGGTACTGGAGTTTCTGTTGCTGCTGAGGGAGCTGGTGCCACGGGTCCCGGAGGTGCTCGTACTGGGAGTACTGGAGCTGCTGGACCTGCGGGTACTTCTGGAGCTGGAGTTGCTGCGGGTGTTGGCGCGGAGGCTACTGCTGTCGGTCCTGGAGGCGGTCCTGCTGGGGGTACTACTGGTGCTGCTGGGGGTTCTGGAGCTGGAGCTGCTACTGGTGCTGGTGCTGCCGCTGGGGGTGCTGGTGCTGTCCCTCCTGTGTCTGGAGTCGCCGCGCGGCCTCGGCCGTACTTCGTTCCGCTCCTTCAGCAGGTTCTTGGTCTCCCGCCTTCTACTGGTCCTCCTCCTCCCTTAGAGTGTCCACAGCCTGTCCCGTCGCAGTTACAGTTACAGCCGGCCTCCCCACTGCCTGCTCCGTCTCCCTACACTGGTCCTACTGGAGGTCTTGCTGAGCGTCGTGAGCCTGCGTCTCGCCCTGCGTCGCCTGTCCGCGCTGCTCGCACTAGTGGTCGTGGTTCGCGTCAGCGTCCTCCTCCTGTCCCTGGCACGCACCGGATGTCTCTGCGTCCGTCCACTGCTCCTCTGCGTGCCCCTTTGCCTTCTCCTCCTGAGTCTTCTCTTCCTGCTCTTGCCGACCCGGAGTCGGACTCTCTTCGTGCTGCCAGTCCTACTGTCACGCGTCTCCTTGCTACTGTTGTCACTGACCCTTCCTTAGAGTCCTCTGCTGCGTCTGCCCTCGTTGCCCGGGTTTAGGGTTTATTTGAACATAATACGCACAAATATTCAGATTGTTGAATGATTTTTCCTACGCCTATAGGGATTCATTGGCTTTCTAAGCATTTGTCGGCAAAAACTGCCGGAATCATAGGCACCAAACTTTTGTTTATGCAAGAACCAAACCGAAAAGGCTCTAATTGATGTATTTGAACAAGAGTCACTCGAATGTGCAATATACGTCAGGTTTTTGAATGATTTTTCTTACGTCTATAGGGATTCATGGGATTTCTAAGCATTTGTCAACAAAAACAGCTGAAATCGTAGGCGCCGAACCTTTTTTTGCCCAATAACCAAGCCGAAAAGGCTCTAATAGGTGTATTTGAACATGAGCCACTCGAATATGTAACATTATGATTGTTGAATATTTTTCCCTACGCCTATAGGGATTTATGCGTTTTCTGAGCATTTGTCGGCTAAAACAGCTGAAATTATGTGCGCCGAAATTTTCATTGCGCAAGAACCAAGTCGAAAAGGTTCTAGATGTATCTGAACACGAGGCACTCGAATATGCAATAAGATTCAGGTTGTTGAATGTTTTTCCCTACGTCTTTAGGGATTCATACGCAGTCTAAACATTTGTCGACAAAACCAATCGGAATCATAAATGCCGAACCTAGCTGAAAATGTTATGATAGGTGTATTTGAACATGAATCAATCTAATATGCAGTAACATTCAGGTTGTTGGATGCTTTTCTCTACGCCTTTAGGGATTCATGCGCAGTGTAAGCATTTGTCGGCAAAAACAGCCGAAATCATAGGCGTTGAAATTTTCTTTGCGCAAGAACCAAACCGAAAATGCTCCAATGTAGGTGTATTTGGACATGAGCCACTTGAATATGCAATAACATTCAGAAGCCATCCTCTGAAGCATGGACAGCTGTGCACCGTAGTCCTTTATTTTTTATCGAAGCCTGGAAGGAAGCTTTCCTGGGAGACGGGCCGGCAAAGGGGCATGTGCCGGCGGTGTGAAGGACATGGCCTCCACCTCATGCTCATCCTCCGAATCACTCTCCTCATGCACCACCCCGGGTCCACCCCGCCCTCGCGCTCTGCCTCCTCCTCTGCCCTGGCATGCCACTGCTCCCCTCCCTGCCCGCAGCCCCTGCTCCATGAGCTTGTCGGCGGGCGAGGCATCGCTGGCACTGAAGCTCATGCCCAGGCGCTCTGCTGCACTGTCCTCCCCCTCTGATGATGACTCTTCCTCCTCATCATCCGTGTACTCCTCCTCGTCCTCCTCCTCGTCTTCGTCCTCAGTGTCTGCCTCCTCGTCCTCGGCTGCTGCCAACTCGTCCGCAAACGGCTGAGTCCAGCGGTTGAAGATGGGCTCGATGAACCTGAAGGGCCATTGCACGTGTGGCAGTGCGTCGCCATACAGGCCGTGTTGAGAACATGACCACCACAGGACAACCGAACTTTGAAAGCCCCACCACTTGAGTATGGAACATATATAAATGAAACAGAGATGGGTGAGGGAGTAAACCTGAGGGAGTGGTGGAGCAGGTAGGGGTCGAAGGGGAAGAACATGTCCAGCTCGTTCTCCCCTCCGAACCGTGCTGCTGCCCTCTCCCCCCCCCCTGCACTGCCAGCACCGTGCTCTGCATGCTGCTGCGCTGCAGTGATGGCATCGCAGTCCAGCAGGGAGAGCAGCTTGGCCTGGCGGGAGAACTCAAACACCACCGACTCCAAACACACCTGCCACAACCACACCCAGGGTTTAGGGTGCAGTACACTGAGTTGCATAGCACGAACCTGGAGACGTACACAAACTTCTGAATAGAACAATGCAGAGATGGCAAATGGGCGATGGGCTCACTGAGAGGGGGCGCAGGTGGGAGGAGAGCAGCTGGTTGAGCGGCATGGCGTGGAGGGCGGAGTTGGCGTGTGAGTCGGCAACGAGGTGCTGCATGCGGTAGCACAGCACGTACAGCACCGCCTGGGGGGGTGCACATGCCGGGCAGAGAGGGGACCAGGCCTTGTGAGCAGGTAACATTACATTGAATGTCCGCAGGCGTTTTCCTCGTCAGTATGTGTTAGAAAGCCAACACTACCTGGCGAGCTGCCTCTGCCACACATGTTTCACCCACCTGGCATGCGGCATAAAAGATGTGATCCTGTGGCGAGGGCGCCAAGGGGGGTTGCGAGCGAGGAGACCCCGAGCCACCAGTGTCACCCCCATCCCGGCCTCTTGTGGCCCCGCCCATGCTTGCTCTAGGCGAGGGGGCTGCCCTCTCCGCCTTGCCCTGCCTCCTCTCTCGCCCTCTGCTACTGCTGCTGGCAGCAGTGGTGCTGCCAGTGGGTGAGTCGGGGCGGCGGCTGTGGGAATGCGCCAGGCACCACTCCACCACTCTGGCGGGGCACACGGGTTCAGATCAGGGCCACACAGAGGGCATCGCCACAGCAATCAGAGGCAGCCTCCCACACCCTGCGTTCACTGTGGAGATCAAGAGCAACATGCACTGTACCTGAGTTCGCATGGCACGAATGAATGTCTAGTGTGTGCATGCTTGTATGGCATGGCATCCATGCGGGGCTGTAAAGCTCACCCAACATGCACCACAAAAAGGCTCATCGAGCAGAAGTTCTCAAGAGAATGCCGAGCTGGTGAGAGGTTGAGATGAGCAAAGGGTGTGGATGAGAGGAATACCGAGTGAGGGAGGAGACGATGTGCATGAGTGGGATGAAGGATGCTCGCGCGAGGAAACTGGCCAGGTAGGCTGCAGCAGACATTCTGAAAGGGCGAGGGGTGAGAGAGAATGAAGAAGGCAAGAAAACGGCACAATCATATGCTAGAAGCATACATCTGGCTATCCGCTGCATGCACAGAATACTAGCAGTGGCACATTATTGACTTCCTTTTACTGGAACACAAGCACGCCGTGATCCAACTAGCATGCGGGAAGCGCAGTCTTTGGCGTGCAGTGAGCGCAATCGGCTCACCTTGAGTTGAGGGAGCGTGAGGGTGATGTGAGGATGTCGGTGAGATGAGAGGCGAAGGCAGCCGCCAGGGAGGCGGGGTTGAGGGAGCATGCAAAGAAGAGCAGGAACTGCAGGGGGGGGGGAGCAGGAGCATAGCAAAGAGCAGATAGAGTGATCATCTTCCGGCCTGGCTATTCCAAGTCCGGAGCGAAACGGTAACGCATGACTGACACGGGAAGCGAGCTCATGGTCATGAAGTGAGAGGATGCTCCACACAAGGAACAGATTCTCTATTCAGTGACAGCTAGGGGCTTGAAAACGACCAGAAGGCATAGGAGGAAAGGAGGGGATTCGAGGTGCGGGAAAAACAAAAAAGACTTGAACAATTGATGGAAATTGATTCAAAAGAACGCTAGACCTTGCCTGGGTGAATTTGGACTTGTACGTGTCGAGTATCGTTGAGTCAAAGGAGCGAATCAAAGCTTCGTAGACCTGCTCATGCCATATGAATCAAACAGGCATGTGGTCACATGGGCAGCCAGAGCCATGACCAAGAGTAGGATTCAATCAAGGTTCAAAAGGAGCATGAGCATGGACGAGCACGAGCATGAATGATGCTGCCCTGCATGCTGCAATGGAGCACATATGGAGCACATATGGAGCACATATGGAGCTGCAATGGAGCACATATGGAGCTGCAATGGAGCACATATGGAGCTGCAATGGAGCACATATGCAAGGCACTGCTCAGAGATTGATGAGTGATCAGATCAGCAAGGGGGTGTGGCAGCAACAGGGAGTGTAGCGAGCAGCAACAGGGGTGGGAAGAACAGCAGGGGTGTGTTGGCAGGGACAGGGGAGTGGTGGGTAGCAGCAGGCGGTGTGGCATGGGCGAGCAGCACCTGGGGCAGCTGGTGGGCGTGGGAGCGGGCGCGGATGTGTTGGAAGGTGAGGTCCATAAGGGCGTCCATCTTCTCCGCCATCTCATCCACTGCTGCTGCTGCCCCTGCTGCTGCTGCCCCCCCGCTGCTGTTCGCCCCGCCACCACCACCACTGCATGGCAGCAGCAGCCCGTGCCGTGCCTCACTACCCGGCACACCAGCCTCAAAAGCTGCAGCAGAGCCAGCAGCAGAGAGGGCGGCGTGGTGGGCGGCAGCAGCGGAGTCGTGCAGGTCCATGTGGAACATGTACACCCGACTTGCCCCCGCCGCTGTTGCTGCCCCCGCCGCTGCTGCTGCTGCCGTGTGGCTTGAGTCGGGAGCATTCGTTGTTGCGACCACAGCTGCATCCGATGAAATGTCCTCCCACCGGATCTCCACCTTGAATGTGCCGCACCGTCAACAACCGGGGTGGACATGTGGGACGGTTTTAGGATGCTGGTGTGTGCGTGTCACTAGAGAAAGATGGTGCATGACAGCAGGTGTGCATGCAAGAAGATGAGAAGAGAAGTGTGCGGAGCAGAAAGCCCGAGGCAGAGGAGCAGAGCGGGTGAGTGGGTGAGAGTGGACGCACATCGATCTGAATGAGGTGGTCCACCACGGCCGCCAGGAAGCTGTCCCTCACCGTCTCACCCTCCTCCGCCTCCGCCAGTGCAAACATGCCCGCCACGTACACGCACTGGAACTGGTGCCTCCACCAACACAAACCACCAGGGAGCATGGGGCAGGGGGCAGTAACAACAGCAGGATGGGCGGGCAGGGGCACGAGGGCAGTCACAGAACGGAAGGGGGATGAGAGTGGCAGGGCCAAAAGGAGGAGAAAAACGAAGTTGGAAGCAGGCGGGCAGAACATCAAAACTTGACACTCATTTCCAGCGACCACCTAAGACACAGTGCAGCACGAGCAACTTGCATCGCCTCTCGCACGGACCTCCTTCTCGACGCGCTTGTGCGGCATCCGCTGCAGCACGAGGGGCAGCAGGCGGGACGAGGCGGTGGGCACGAGGCGGCAGATGCGCGACAGGGCGCCCACCACCCAGCGCAGCACCTCGCTCTGGCGCCGCAGCTCTTCCCCCTTGCGCGCCTTGGCCGCCACTATCGCCGCCACTGCGCCCGCAGCCCCCCCTGGCGCGCCTGGGTGGGCGGAGGCAGCAGGCAGCTTGGCCGGGTGTGCGCCCATGAAGGCGGGCACACCGGAGGAGGGCGGCATGAGGTTGCGCACGAGGATGTCCAGCGCCACCGGTAGACACGCGCTGTTGGCTGACGCCTGTGCCGCCATGGGGGACAAAGGGGACGGGCACGGACAGGCACAAAACAGGAGTTAGATCTGCAGTTTCTGAAAGTGGTAGGGTCCAAGCTAGACATGAAAAACAAGTACTTTTTTTCTGGCAAGCATGAACACAAGAGATATGGCTATGCGAACAGGAAGCAAGCTGGAGAACGTGTTCTGACCACGTTGGATGGCATGCATGCACGGCTGGACGCGGCTGGGCAGAGTCGAACATGTTTCTGCTCAAGGGCTTAACTTTCTAAAGTGTTTCATGCTGGACACACCAGAATGCGATTGCGGTGCTGCAGGCGCTAACGACATGCTTCAAATCCTCGAACCACCCGGTTCGTTGTGCAATGAAGGCATGGCGGCGTGGGCACTGGGCAGAGCCATGAGACCACCGTTGGGGAATACTACCACTGAGTGTGACGCAGTGAAGGTGGTTGTGGGGTCCTGTGCAAGAGCACCATCCATCCCCTGACCCTTTCCGCTGCTTTCCAGCTTCACCTTCATAGCGGCTTGCAGAGGGCCGCGGGTCATCCGTGGCCACTGAGTGTCTCTCTCTCTCTCTCTCTCACTGCAACACGCCACCAACCACCACATCGCACGGCAAGTGCCAGTGATGCACATCGCGACTCAAAGCACCACCGCTGCAAAACGCATTGCTGCGCGATCCTTCACGATAGGGCCAAATTCGACCGCCACCACTGGGTTCAGGAACCATGGGGTGCAGTGCGATGGATGCAGGTGCATAGCACCTTGGACGTGCACGACTAGCCACACAGTGATACGCCTGGATGCTTTATCCATGCGAACACGTAGCTCGACAACACAAGGATGAACATTCGGGGTGGATGGAGTGAGACAATGGCAGAAGCGAGCTAGGTGGCAGGGATAGAAGGCGAATGGGCAAACGAGACGAGAGGTGGTGGTTAGCGGCTCACCAGGTTGGTGCAGAAGTCGATGATGGCTGCCGCCACGTCAGCGTTGCATGTCCACAGGCTCACACCCAGCAACTGGTGGCGGAGCAGGGCGAGGGGGGCAGCACTTGATGAGAACGCGGAAGAGAAAATGGAAACCAAATGTTTGCGGCCACAAGGTGGAGTGAGGAAACCTCTGCTCTCACCATGCCACTTCATGGTAACAACAAGCGACGGTGGCGCGAGACAATTAAAAAGGTGGTTTCACGTGCAGCGGACCTGAATGAGCAGCGCACCTGAATGAGCAGCGCACCTGAATGACAAGCGCACCTGAATGAGCAGCGCACCTGAATGAGCAGCGCCTCGTGCACGTCCGGGTCGAAGTAGGAGACGCACTGCGAGAAGACCCGCAGCTTCGCCTGCCAGCCGCAGGCACACGAAACAGCCGCGTGGAACGAACAAAAAAAAAAAAAAAACACTTTCACGATGCGAAACCTGTTCGTGTACTCATGCACAAGTACTACGCCTCAAAAGCGGCTGCGGGGACAAAAATTAGCCAGTAGGCTCATCCAGATAGGAGGAGAAAAACAAAACGATACGACCTCAAAGCGAGCGTGGTGGCCGGCGGACATGGAGAAGATGGATATTCATGAGGGGAGTGGGCGGAAAACGCGTGGAAAGGGACATGGGAGGGGAAACGCACCGGATCGGCGTGAATCTGATCGATTTCTTGAATGAGCCGCCAGTACGCCGTGCCGTCGCCCTGACACGCATCATGACAGGGCAGTGCAACTGGGGTGAGCTACGAGCGGACTTATGTCGTACGGTACGAAGACGCGCGCGTATACTTCATGCGCAAGGACATGTGCCGCGAGGCGACATATCAGACTTCAAGATCTGCTCGAGTACATGCATGTGTGCCTATGGACGCGGCCCGATGAACAGCGCGAGAAAACGAGAGAGCTTTGAGGCGTTAACGAACAGGTATAGGCTTCTGGGGCACGTACTCTAGACTTGGACATCAGTGCGTTGATTATCCACTGACGAAACATGGACAGCGCTACAGCGCGCTGCTGTGCCGCCTGCACTTCTGTCGTCGCCATGTTTAGGTGGCCAGAGACCACCGCTGATGGCATTTCCTAAAAGCGCGCTTGCATCCAGACCAGTACAACCAGCCTGCAACTTTCTTAGTGCAGCTATCAAGCGACTAAAACCCTAATTGACCGCCAGCTCGTGTCGTTGGCTTGATACCCACCAATGCACGTGCTTCCATTCCGTCAATGGCGATCATTTGGGACTACAAGCGTCCACTGATCCAGCGTGGACACAGCACAGTGCACGCTCATGACTACCCAAGAGTTCATAAACACACCAAATGTAGAAAATGTAGTTCTCATTTTGCTAAAGCCTTATTTTCTCAAACCAAAAGTGTTCGGATTGTTTCATACGATAAAGAGAGTTGCCATTTATCGTTACGATTAAAACTACCAAAATAAAACTAAGTATGACATTATCTCATTTTCTTCTTTAGAGAGGGAAACATAAGTAGAACTACAAATGGAATTACTGTCCTTACTGCCACAGTGTTACTTCCCAGCTCCTTGTAGCGCGTGTGTCATCCGTGACACGCTGGGCTGCTACTAGCAGATTCCGTCACCAGCATGGATCGCTCCACTCTGCTCAAATTCCATGGCTGCTGCTGCTCGCCAGCGGAGGCCGTGGGCTGCGATTCTGCAGCGGAGTCGAGGCGCTCTGCTTGTGGCGTTGGCGGCAGTTGTAGTGCTGGGAATCGCTCGCTTTCATCTTCCACTCTCTCCCTCTCTCCTCTCCCCTCCATCACCGCCAGTATCGTCGTTACGCTCGCCCTTTCTTCAGCAGGTATTCTCACCATCCTCTTCCCGTCACTCACACGGTAATGAGAGAATATAGATCACAGATGTGCACACATTGCTTCTTCTCGCGTGCTCACGGCACTCGCAACAACCCGAACGCGGTGTGGCGGTGCGAGGTGGACGCGGGCCGCGTCTCCACGAGCGCGCCTGCTGGGATTCGTGCGTCCGCTGCCGCGCTGCACCCGCGAGGTCATGCCTCGTGCCATGGCCGACCGCACGGCCTCGCAGGAAATCAATCTTGCCTACGACTGTTACCCATCCGACCTCGCTTGCTACACTCGTCCTCGCCTCATGTGTGCCCCTCTGCTCTTCTCCGCTCCCCTCTGCCTTTGGCTGATCCCTTGGCCCGCCCACCCCCTTTTCGTGCTGCCATGTGGCGTGGCGGTGCAGCCCCTGCCGCTGCCGCTCATTCACCGCCCGCTCACTGACTACTTCCAGGTGACCTCCTCCTCCCACCCCCTGCTGCCTCCTCGTCTCCCTCTGCCGCGCTGCGCACACCCTTCACTTGGTCCCAGATTCTTCTTCCCAGACACTGCGCACTTGCGCCTGTCGTTGCTGCGCTGCACCCGTCACTGCACATGATCCTTGCGCCAGGAGCAATCACAATCTGCACCACCCTCGCAAGCACCCCAAAACCTGAAGCGTCTCCAAGCCCCACCTCCCTCTCTCCATGCGTTTCCCTCCCCCCCCAGCCTGACAGCCTGCTGCCCCCCGCACTGCCACCGCTGCTGAACCCGTTGGCACCACACCTGCAGCTGCAGCAGCACGCGTTCATGCACCTGCTGGCGCGGCACTCCGCGGCCTTCCAGCCCGGGCTGCTGCACGACTGGCTGGGCGCCACCGCCTTCTTCGAGTGGCTCTGCCCCTACCTCGCCCACCCTGGCGCGCAGGGGGAGGGGGGGACGCAGGGGGCAGGTGGGGCGCAAGATGGGAGTGCGGAGGGGAGTGGAGGCGAGGAGGATGTGAGTGAGGATGCGCGGGTGGTGAGCGGGGCGTGGGAGGACGGCAGCAGCGAGGGCGGGTGGGAGGAGGAGATCCCCGTGGTGGAGTCCCGGCACCGCGTGTGTGCCGCGCACCTCGCCCGCGAGCAGCAGGCGGACAGCCACCCGGGGGGGGTGAGTTCGGACCCCGTCGGGGCGAGCGCACATGGCGGGGCGGCACACGGGGAGGATGGGAGTGCGGGCAGGGAGGGTGGCAGTGCAGGCAGCGGGGCGGGACGGGCAGCGGCGGGGGAGTACGCGGGGTACCTGCCAACGGCAGACGGGGCGTATGTGGAGCTGCTGGACGCGCTCGAGGCCGTGCTGCGCTCCCACCTGCTGCCCGCTGCTGCGCTGGCTCATGGGGGGAGTGCGGAGAAGCAGGGGGGCGAGGGGCGGTCCACGGTGGTGTCTGCTGGGCCGCTGCTGCACGCCATGACTGCCTTTGCTGCTGCCCACGCCTACAGGTGATTCCATGTGCTCTGCCTCAAGACCACTCAGTATCTGCTCTTGACGCCACCATTCTTTTCCCAACTCCCACTGACCACTTGTACTTCTGTGTCTGTCTCCCTGACTCCCTCTCCTTTGCGCCTTTGCCTGCCTCGCCCTGCCTCTTTATTCTCTCCCCTCCCCTGTCAGGCAGGTGCGGCCATACGACGCCATGGCGCTGGTGGTGGTGCATCCCGACATGCCCAAGCAGCTGCACGCCCTGGCTCGCCTCAACGCCGTCCCACACTTCACTCACATCCCCCTTGCCCTTGGTAATGCCCCCTCCCTCCTAATCGCCTTTTCAGCCCCTTTCATCCTTGGCCCTGCATCATTTCCGCAACATCATGTGTCTGTCTCTGCTTCGCCATGAATTCTCTCCCCTGCTGCTCCATGCACTCTCCTCTCTGTTGCCCCATGTGCCATGCGCCATGCACCCCACATGTGCTGGAGACTGTGTGGGCAGGGGGTGGAGAGGTGAAGGAGAGGGAGCCAGGCAGGTGGGCAACGGTGGGCGATGTGCTGGCGGGGCTGTCGCGCTGTGACCTGCTGGACATCGACGCCGACCGAGCGGAGAAGTTTGCCTTCGACGACCCCGACGCCTTCACCCACGGTGCTTCCTCGCTTCCACCCTAACCCTTCCTGTGATATGCCCATCATGCCACTGCTTCGACTGCTCTTCCACACTTGGACGTACAAACCGTCCCATGCTGTGCAAGTGACCTGTGTCTTGTGAACACGTGTGTGCTAGTACCTGCCATCATTCCAGCCCTGCCTCTGGCGCTAACTCCCACCCTGCTTCCAGCCAGCCCGTGCTTCACCCCAACAACCAGACTGCCTTGGAGTGGGATGGCATGGATTTGAGTGTATTCTTAGCAGAGATAACCCTTGTTCTTCCTCACTCTGCCCGTTCCCCCTCTCCTCTCTTCCCCATGCTGCCTCCCTTCCCCCCTGCAGTGCAGCGGGTGGTGAGGCGGGTGCAGATAACAACGCACGGCAGGGACGTGCACGGCAAGCTGGAGGCGCTCTTCCGCCTCAAGGGTTGGCTCAAAGCCATCGACCTCCCTCCCCCCGCTGCCCCCGCCTGCCTGCACCCCACGCACGCCTTCATGCGCGCACCCCCTTCCTCCTCCTCCCACGACCCCAACGAAAGCTCCTCATCCCAGCAGCCGCACAGCAGGTCTGCTCGTACCCCAGTGCCACGGCCCGAGTGTGTGACGCACACCCCGTGGGGCCCCATGCTGCTCAGGGAGGGGCTGCTCTCATTCCTTAAAACCGGGGTGCACATTCAGCTGAATGTGCATCAAAGGTTATCCCTTGACTGAGTGGGTTACGAGGTGTGCTTTCAACCCCTTCAAGTCGAAATTCGTTTCCCCCCTCCCCCGCAATTTCGTTTCCCCACGCCCCCGCAATTTCATTTCCCCCTCCCCGTCGAAATTCGTTTCCCCCCTCCCCCGCAATTTTGTTTCCCCCCTCCCCCGCAATTTCGTTTCCCCCCCCTCCCGCCAATCTGTTTCATCCCTCCCGCCATTCGGTTTCACCCACTCCCGCCATTTCACCCCCTCCCGCCACCTACGAAATGCCCGAAGCTCTAGCGGAATCATTTTTTTGTCGCCCCTCGTGAGCCAATCACTGTTTTTCTCCAAACCCCCTTCCCAACATCTCAAGCCGAACCGCGTTGAATGTGCACCCTGGTTTTAACCCCTCCTTCGCCCACCAGGAAGACATCGTTCGCCCACCACTCACCCCCCTGCCACCCTCGCTGCTCTGACTCTCACTCACCCCACCCACCCCGCATCAAACCGCTCAAGGGCCCTCCCTCCCCTCTCTTTGGAACCCCCGGCAAGAATGTGCACCTTGTTGCATGTAGTGCGCCCTTATTTCGTGTGCATGAAAGAATGCTGCATGTTCCAGGTCGTTCTTATTGAGCCAGTGGAGTCTAACAGTGCTTATAGATGTGATATATAAAGGATATACAATCTCTTAATATACTCCTCTTTGCACAGCTGGTTTCTTGGCCAGGATACAGAGCTAGAGGTGGTAGTCCAGGCCCGACCCAAACTGCCAGGCCTCGAGGCGGCGGCTCCAGAAGAAGCGCTGGCGGGGCGGCAGAGAGGCCACGGCCTCGCTGCGTATGAGAGGGGTGGAGGGGGTTGGCAGCAGGGGGATGGGATGAGGGGGTGGGGAGGCATGGCTGTAGGAATTAGCAATGGGCAGCAGAGGGAGAGCAACACCTGAGGAGAGAACATCTGAAGGACACATTTGAGAAGAGAGGCTGGTGAGGGAGAGGCTGGTGATGGAGAGAGGCTGGTGATGGAGAGAGGCTGGTGATGGAGAGAGGCTGGTGATGGAGAGAGGCAGGTGAGGAAGAGAGGCTGGTGAGGAAAATACTTTTTAGAATTCTCAAGTGAGGGAGAGAGGCTGGTGAGGGAGAGAGGCAGGTGAGGGAGAGAGGCAGGTGAGAGGAAGAAACACCTGAGGGAGAGCGCGGAGGCGAGGTGGTGCAGAGCAGAGAAGGCAGCGAGGGCGATGAAGTGCTGCAGCCAGTCCAGCAGGGGCACGGGGCCCACCTGGTGAGAGCGGTGGAGAGAAACATGGGTGGGTGGCATGTGAGAGGGGGTGAGTGGGCGAGGGAGTGATGAGGCATGGCGTGGATGTGAAGGACGATGGCAGCGCTAGTGGCGGCACAGAACGAGAGCACATGGCATGGCGTGGTGTGGTGTGGTGCGCACAACATGACGCACATGTGGATATCATTTTCCCACACCTCGCCTACAGCACAATGCTTGAAGACCTAGACCGTAACCTGAAACCCTGCGGCCCAGAGCATGATTTGAAGGGCACCTGCAGGAAGATGGTGGGCAGCAGCGAGGGGCGCGTGACGACCATGGAGCCCATTGTGAGGGCGAGCGGGGCGAACTGTGTCACGTCCTGGTGCACGCACGTAGGGAGGGGGATTGGAGAATGACAAAAGGGAAGGGGGAAGAGAAGAGGAACAAGGAAGAGGGGAGGCACGTGAGAGGTAGGAAGAGGAAGAAACAGGGGGCATTTGACGGTTGATTTTCGTGCTGTGCTGTGATGCGTGGAAGTTGTGGTGAGGCATGGTGATGGGTGCAGGGGTGGTGCACGGCATGGCAGTGAGGTGCAGGTGTGGCAGTGAGGTGCAGGTGTGGCAGTGAGGTGCAGGTGTGGCAGTGAGGTGCAGGTGTGGCAGTGAGGTGTAGGTGTGGCACACGGACCTGCAGGAACGGCCGTACGACAGGGTCACCTAGCTTCTGATGGAGGGAGGGGTGGGGGAGAGATGGAGGAGAGGAGAGAGGGCACGCGCGAGGGGAGGATGGAGGGGACAAGAATGGAAGAGGATGGGATGCACGGTACAGATGGGACGAGCAGGGAGAGCAGAGCTTGGGAGAGTGATGCGATGAATGTGCAGGCATGGCAGCATGAGCAGCAGCAGCAGAGGCAGCAGCACAGCACATGACATGACACGAGCATGACCTGCATTGCGGCGAAGTTGGTGGCGAGCAGCGTGTTGATGAAGTCAGGTGGAGGGGACGACCCCACGCGCGCTGACATGGCACGCTGCAGCAGCCATGCCCCACTCAGGTTCGGCTGCCCGGGGCGGGGAAAGGGGGAAGAACGAAGAGAAGACTTTGAGGCACGTCACAAGCCATGATGTTCGGGATTTAGGGTGCAAGGGGCGGGAAGGGGAAGGGAGGGGGGAGGGAAGCAAGGGTATGGGAGCGATGTGTATCAAATTCAAAGTAGTGGGGTGTGGCTTGCCAGTTTTGTGATGTAAGGTTACTGATGAGAGGTGCATGCACCTGGTATGGGTTGATGCTTGCAAGCGCATCTCGGGTGAGCAAGTCCGCACTCAAGGCTTCCACCAGGCCTGCAGGCAGGCAGGGGGGGAGGGTTAGATACCGGCAGGAGGACGAGGAAGTTGAGGCACGGCATGGGAAATTTGAAAACAACAGCAATGAGTACTGAGACTTGCAATATGAAGTGGTGTGGTGATGCAACATGATGGCATGTGATGGCACAGCAGGGAACAGAAGTGACCAGCATGGGGCTGACATGGCAAGAAGCATGGGGCTGACCATCAGTGATGCGGCCGAGGTGGCGTGTGATGGCTCCGAAGCCACCGAAGGAGAGTGGCGACTGGATGCCACTGGCATCGCCCACCTGCATGCCCCATGGCGCACAGGGCACAGCGCACAGCGAACCATGCAGGGGAGGCAGTGCAAGAATGTGATACAGCATTCTGCGAAGTACTTTGGAAACAAACTAACCACTGCAGAAATACAACTTTTATGAGAGAGCTGTGAGAGTGTAGGTTGAGGTGAGGTGACGGTTTTGGGAATTCTCAAAAGGGTTTCAGATTGCAAGATGAGGTGAGGCGAGGTGAGGTGAGGTGAGGTGAGAGGTAAGGGGAGGTGAGGGAGAGGTGAGGTGAGATCAGGGCACCTGGATGACGCGGTCAAAGGCAGGGCAGAGAGGGCTGTCTCGGAAGGTGGGGAAGAAACCGAAGAGCACTCGCTGCACCTCCACCGAGTCTATGGAGTCAATGCCCTGCCACACACGCAGTCAACGAAGTCAACGCCTTGCCACACACTCAGTCAATGGAGTCAACGCCCTGCCACACACGCAGTCAACTGAGTCAACGCCATTCCACACGTGCAATTTATCGCCCTGCCACAAATGCACCAGCAGCACAGCAGCTGACCTGGTAGGGCGGCATGAGGTGCCAGTAGAGGTCGAGCATGGCCTCCAGTGACGGGCGCTCAGGCTGGGCGTCCATGTAAGAGAACATGTACGTTGTGCGGTCACTGGGACCCGACCCTGATGGGAACGCCTGGGGTCAGCAAAAAGAGGAGGGTGGGGTGGTGGAAGCGCACGCAGGGAGAGGCATACATGGCCTTTTATATATATATATATATATATATATATATATATATATTGGATGTGGATATATTAACAAAAACATAAGTACATGTACATCTGCAATCGTAACTGTATGCATACATGGCCTTCTGAGATGTGCCGGCATGGTACACAAACAGGCGTGCTAAGAAACCACAGGGAAGTGGAAGGCGAGAATCGAAGACAGTCCTACAAGACCTGTTAGAATTGTATGTTCTAGCATGCCAACACTTGTAACTGTACACCAATTGTGGTGTACAGTGAGTGTAGTCTTTGGGTGTACACCAACTGTACACCAACTTTGGGTGCAGTCTTGCATTGTGGGGTGCCAATCCAACCCAATTGTGGTGGAGCCCCCAAATGCAACCCACTTGGCCTCAGGTTGCCTCACTTCCCAAAAGTGAAGCCAACCCAACCCAAGTGGGCTTGAGGTTGTCTCACTTCCCACAAAGTGTGGTCAACCCAACTTTTCTTCCCCAAGCTTATCATCCAACCTATGTATGCTTGTTCTTCCTCTAATCAAACTGATCATTCACTTTACAATCTTAACAAAATCATGCCCCACCACAAGTGAAGGCTGATGACGTCAAGTTTGTAGAGGACACCATGTACAAAGCCTGGCAGTAGTAGCAACAGTTAGCTTATGCATCACCACAGGTTAAGCTGAGAAAGAAGTGACACATATCAGCGCACCTCCCAGAAGAGCTGCAGCGGCGACTTGCCGAGGGAGATGGTGGGCGAGGTGGTGAAGATGATGTCCCCCGTGCTGTTGGTCTCCGGGGGGAAGCCTCGCGCACACGTGCCCACCACCAGACACACACCATCTGGCTTTTGCCCCCACCGTGCCTGTCTCGCTCACACAGGGCACAAGGCAGAGGGCAGAGGGCATAAGGCACATGGCACAGGGCACAGACGCAGATAGCGAGCTATGAACAGGAACAACATGTGACGATTTGAGCATGTGAGCATTGACATAGTAACACATTATGACTACCCTCATGACTCCTGCCAGCTTGTCTAGCATGGGTTGCAGGCTTCAGGGCGTCAATCGCATAACATTTCTGACCCAGTTACGACTGTGGATGTATGCATGTTCTCATAGTGCATTCATTCAACCAAAAAGAAAAGAAAGAAAGAAAAATAGGTCATTTCTGACCAGCAACAGCCTGAAGAGCACCCACCTGTCTAACGATGGGCGAGGCATGCCCCATGGCGTCCACAACCAGCCGCGCTTTCAGGGCCGGCACAGATGGGTCTGCGAAGTGGAGCACCTGGGGAGGCAGTCAATCAGTGGGGCAGGATTTGGAGGCGGCCGGCGTGTTGGTGGGCTGCGTTGAAGGCACTGGAGCGAGGGGTGTGAACGCACAGGGCGCTGTGTTGTGCTGATGCTTAACACCCATTATGACAACAACAAACAGGAATGCGTTGGGCATGTGTGTGTGCATGCAAGGAAGCACAGGCTGAACAAGTGTGGGCACGGGGGGGTGAGGCACGCACAGCAGCGTCATCATAGACGTTCAGTGAGGTGAGTGCCACGCCCTCCAGCAGCACCCCCCCCAGGGCGAGGAAGCGCTGCTTCGCCGCCTCTATCAGCCGCGCTGGGCTGCTCGCCCCACCCACCGTGGAGCAGACAGACAGGCGCACAGCGAGGGTTGGAAAAGGGTGGGGAGAAGGAGATGAACGGGGGTTTAATAGTTGGTGAGTGAGGCAGGAGGCAGGAGGTAGCAGAGCAACTGTGGATTCATGGGGTCCTGATGCATTCAGGTGCTTCTGGTTGAGGTTCGTTACTATGACTGTCAGCAGGAATGCGAATTCACAGTAAAGCGGCAGCAGTGCAAGAGGCTTTGGGGCAGCACAGCTGCTGAGGCTCGAGCTTGAAAAGGCTGTGATAAACGTTGGCATGAAGCCTGCTGACTGCTGGCATGACATGACAGCACGGCATGGCATGGCACATGGAATGACACGGCATGGCAAGGGCAGCAGGGAGGGTACTGACGAGATGCCGAGGTTGAGGATGTCCCTCACCCACATGTCCTCGCCCCCCGCAAAGCCACAGCGGCACTGCCACGCAGCACGGCCAGGGCCATGAGGACAAGGGGGGTGAGGGGCAAGGGCGGTGAGGGACAAGGGCAGTGCACAGCAGAAGGCAGTGAGGCGGGCACACATGGGGTGAGGAAAACTGCTTATGAACCATAGCCTTGATAGTTGCTACCAAAGATGGTCAGCAGTGCCCTCACGGGGTTGAAGGTGACAGTGATGGCGTCGTCCACCTCCTCGGCTGTGAGCACGCCCATAGCCACCAGCTCCTGCACCTCCCTCCGTGACACGTTCCACTCCTGCGCGCGCTGCAGGGGCTCACACACGGGGGCGGACAGAGGTAGACAGAGGGGCCGGGGTGCGAGGCAGGGCCCAGGAGTGCAGAAGAGTAGGACGATGGGAGTGTGGTGATGCATCAATGCAATGGCATTGGGCAAACACGTTGTGACCTCACTCCCTCCCCTTGGATTCCTCCCCATACCCTTCACAAACTTTTATCCATCCACCCAACCTTCTAATTCTCCCACTTTACACCTCCAGCCACCCGTGTCCTCCACTTGGCCCCACATACCCCGCGCAGAGTGCCGCGCTCCACGATGCCCACGTGCTGCCCTCGCAGCGCCAGGCTGACCGCCACGAACACGCCCAGCGTGCCGCCGCACACCACCACCTCCACCTCCGACGCCGCCCCTGCCGCCCCTCCTCCCTCACTGCCGCTGCTGCTGCTGTTCCCAGGCTTGCGCACAACCACTTGAGGGGAGGAAGTGGTGGGGGGACCTGGCACGGAGCGATGGAATAGTGGCATGGAGGGATGGAGGTGAGAGCACAAGATGAGGCATGAATGGCGCATGGCACATGGGGAAACGAGATTCATTGTTGATGCGGCGCAGCGAGGGAGCAAGGGAGGTGGCCACACCCACCCACCAGGCGGGGCGGAGCGCAGGGCGAGCCACGCTGCATCGGCCCTCTGCAGGTCCGCGTATGTCACCTGCCCCCCCGCCCCTCCTGCTTGCTCCCCCGCTGGCAGCGCCGCCATTATGCGCTGCGAGAAGGGGGAGGGCGGTGGGGCGGAGGGAGAGAGCGAGAATCCAAAGAGAGGGGAGAGGGAGGTGGAGAGCATGCGAGGGAGGCTGAATGCGGAAAAGTAGGGGAGAGAAAGAGGGTGGCAGAGGTGGATGGAGAGAGTGTGGCATATGCCATACACCATGCATGCCTCACACCATGCATGCCTCACACCGTCCATGCCACACACCATGCATGCCATACACCATGCATGCCACACACCATGCATGCCATACACCATGCATGCCATACGCCCCAGCCCCAGCAGAGCTCAACACACCTGGGTGGTGCTCATTCCCTCATCCGCCAACCTTTCTTTGCCCTTCTCTTCCCCTCCACTACTGCTCGCCCGCGCCACTCCCCCTTTCTTTCCCTCCGCGCTCCTCCTCCCCCAGATCCGCGCACTGCCCCCCCTCCCCTCCCCCCTGCCATGCCCCCGAAGCCCCTGCAGCGGCGCCCCGTTCTGCGACTGGCGCAAGCATGCGGAGGGCGGGCAAGCGTCGAGCCCGCTGGGGGAGGGAGGAAAGCGCGGAGGAATGGGGTATCGGAAGAAGGGCAGGGGGGCGGGAGGGCATGGACGAGCGGGAGGAGATTGAGGACGTGCGGGCTTGGGGAATCCACGTGGCACTCAAGGCGATGAATCCGTCGGCGGGCACGCGTAACTGGATAACGCACGAGAGGTGGCTTGCTCCGAAATAGCGCCCTGCGTCAGTTACCAGTCAAGCTGTTGACGCCATCGTGTCGAAGAGTGGCGAAGTGGCAAGCGAGAGATGCGAGAGAGCGGTGTCGCAGGTGGAGGGAGCGCGACGCAGAGAGACATGGATGGGCGGAAGGCGAAGCCCAGGTCGGGTGGGGAGGAACGGCACGGAGCCACCCAGCAGCGTGTATCGCGCGGTGCGTGGGTCACACCTAAGTCGTCTCAGCACCCCTCGTCTCACTGCCGCTAACTCTATAGTTCGTACGGCGGTTACAGCAGCAGGAGAGCGACGAACCAACCTAGCAGCAGCAAGAGCTGGCGGCAGGTGGCGCTGCTTGTGGGGAATCCAACGGCGTGCGGCGGATTCCTAACTGCGTGCGCGTGCCGTACGCAGCGGGGCTGTACGTGATGCCTCGTATGTAGTCTCTCGTGCCTCCCGATGTCGGCTGCTAACTGCCGCCACGAGGCAGAAAGCCAAGACCGTTTCAGAGAGGTCGGCGCGAGGGCAAGTCGAGGCAAGCACGGGGCCTGGTCGTGGCAAGCAATGGGGACCGCAGCGGTGGGAGAAGCAATCTGAGCAAGTCGCAGCCAGTGCTAGCGAAGGGAGCTCAACTGCATGTTGCCACAGCAAAGAGAAACCGTCTAGATGCTTTTCTGGTTGCTATCAGCCACAGTTGTAGTACTCGATATACACAGCAGCGTATTTCGATGTGGACTTTTTGTTGCTTTTGTTTCCGATATTTCCAATATTTTCGATCCAGCGGTTTGTTTTTTTTTTTTTTTTTTTTTTTTGCTTATATGAATTATACACCAGAACACAAGTGTACAACGCATAAACAGTCGTAACTGTGCATGAGAGACAGGGGAGCCCGCCTCAGAATATTTGATCCTCAAGCATGGATCCGGGGCCTGCGAGGTTTGCCCCAAACTGCTGCGAAGCTGTTGGACCACTTCCAACCTTTGCCATCCACCACTCTGATACGGTTCAGAAGATCACGCTCTTGCACTGTCATTTTCCGCCACCTGTCTTGCTGTTCCTTCCCACGCTGCTGCATCCTTGTCGCAGAAGCACGCAGGTAAACGTTCACTTGCATGCGGAGGGCCGACTCAATTCTCCGCAATACCCTTCGCGTGCGGAATTTACAGCCTCGAAAGGCCCTTTCGCACCTTTCCGCCCATAGCTGATGGAGGGCAATCGCAACCAGTGTAGCCTCCGGAAATGCTGACTGGGACTCGGCTTTGCCAAACAGCCAATCACCGAGCTAGTCACATTTCCTGCCTGGATTGATCATCCGTAGCGCCTTTTTAACCGCTGAAGTCACCCCTTGGGTTTTCGGGCACTCCAAAAGACAGTGTTCCAGTGTCTCAAAACTCCCACAGTGAGGACAGACTGGTTTGCTGCTGAGAAACTCCAGACGCTCCCCTACTTGTAGATTAAGGCAGTGGATCCGCAGCAGAACATCTCTTGGCCGGCTCGGGGTAACAAGTGACTCCCGAATCTGAACTGCCCGCTTCCAGTCAATACTTCCGCCCCAACGACTCGCCCATTTCTCCCGCCTGTTCTGTCCACTGTTGCCATGCTTCCAGTACTTTCTGAGCGACCTCAGCGGAATTGCTTTTCCTTCCGCCAACAGTTTTGCCCGGAGCTGTAGGGGTCCCCCTCTGCCAACCTCGTATTCGTCCGCAAAGCTCATGTTCGGGAGTACAGCCGAAATGAGCTGATTCCTCCAGGCCTCCGGCGCAGCTGCAAAAGCCTTGAGCGCAAGACTTGCTGAGTCTCTCCCCCGCAACTCCCTCTCTAGGGTTTCAAGGCTTTTCAGCATCCCCCTCCCGTCCGCATCTCTTCCAACCAGATCGCCCAGCCTGACATCCCAAAGCCGCTTCGCCGCTTTCTGCCCTCCCACTGGCGTGGTACCTTTCAAGAGAATATGCATGTTAAATGCGATTCTCTCCAGCAGCAGCTCCTTGGTCTCTCGTTCCTCCGTGGATACCGCTAACGGAGATTGCATGAAGTTTGCACAAGCCAATTTCCACCTCTGACTTTTCCCCTCCCAGGTTTTCAACAGCTTCTCGTGCGCCATAAACGTCTCCACCCCCCTTGGCAGGTCAGCTGCTCGGCGCATCAGCTCCCGCTTTAGCTGGTTCGTCTCCGTGAGTACCAGCCCGATCCTTCTAGCTGTTAAGCAGGTAAGCATCGCCTCAGGATTTTTCGCCCCCACTCCTCCTTCCAGTACCGGTGTAAACAGAAGCTCTTTGCTCCAGAGGTTGAAGCACTTGTCCGATGTGACCTTGTTAGCTGACATGAAGTTTTGTGTCATCCTTGTGATGACATTCCAGGTTTGCGCAGGCGGCGGGTACACCTGAGCTTGGGACCACGCAATCGACAGAATATATCCGTCCATCACCGCTGTCCGGGCCTTAATCGGGAGAAATTGTGGTTGCCATAGCGACATCTTTCCGGCGATTTTTTGAAGCGCCTTATCCCACGTCGGCTGGCAGCTTCCATTCGGCGTGACCCACACTCCCAACAGTCTTTCTGCTTCATTTTCCTCAGCCCATCGAAACCCGTCTGTGCGCCATGTCTTTTTCCCCAGGTTAACTCCCAGTGGCATCACCACCGACTTCCCCTTGTTGGTCTCCAAACCGGAAATGCATTTGAACTCCTCCAACACCTCCTCTGCTCTTCCGATTTGCTGCTTCCCCTGCAGCAGGAGGGTCGTGTCATCGGCGTAACCGATGTAAGCCAACCTTTGGCCAACACAGCTGGTGAGGGAAATCCCTATCTTCCGCTTCATCACCTTCTGCGCCAGCGGCTCCACCGCACAGAGGAAGAGGTAGGGTGCTAAGGGGCAACCCTGCCTCACCCCCGAGACCACATTCACCGCTTCGCCCATCCAGCCATTGATTAGCAAACTCGTCCTCGTGTTCGTGTGCAGACCTTTCACCCAGCCAACGAAACGAGCCGGAAAGCCCATTTTCTCCATCACTTCGAAGATAAAGTCTCGAGAAACCGAGTCAAACGCCTTTTTGAAGTCTACAAGCAGCATAAACCAGTCCTCCGACCCATTTTTGGCTGCGTCGATTATGTCAGCAACCAGCCCCACCGCATCAGACATCCGCCTTCCGGGGATAAAGCCAAATTGTTCTGGTGAGATCACCTTGTGCAGCACTTTCTTGATTCTGCTCGCCAAGACCCGCGCCAGTAGTTTGTAGCTGATGTTTAAAAGCGTGATAGGACGGTAGTTATCCAACTGCTCTTTCGCCCCTTTTTTATGCAGGAGGATTGTCACCGCATCTTTCACGTTGGTGGAGAGCGAGGACGTGAGGGTGAAGTCGCTGACCAACCCCATAACATGCTTTCCGAGTGTGTCCCAGTGTGCATCAAATAGCTCCTTCGGCAGGCCATCTTTCCCTGGTGATTTGTTGCACGCCATTTCCCGCAACGCCTGTCTGACCTCCTTCTCTGTCCATTCCTCTTGCAGACTTTCCGCATCTGAATAAAGCAGCCTCTTCCCGGCTTCCGGACGCCAATCCGAAGTCATCGTGCGCTTATCTTCTCCGAAGAGGTTACGGAAGTAATCTGCCGCTGCCTCCAAGATCCGTTTCGGCTCCGACACCACCCCTCCTGGTACCGCAATCTCCGCGATTTGAGTCCTGACTTTCCGCGTCTTTATCCTTGCCGACAGATGCGGTGAGGGGACTTCTCCCGTCAACGCCATTTCCACTCCAGCCATGGTGTGCATTCTGTCCCTTCGACACGCAAAATACTCCTTGAGCTGATGTTCCTTTTTACTCAGCCGTTCCTTCAGCAGCAGATCTTTCGGGTGCTGCATGAACTCCTGTCTCAATGCAGCCACCGATGTGGTGAGATGAACGATAGTTGCCCTGATCCTTTTGCTCTCTTCTCTTGCATACGCTCGCAGGCTGGCATGCAGGCGCGAAATGAGTGCTGTAAAACCTCCTCCATTTTGCGCGACCAGCCGCTCCACCTCCTCTATCTTCTTCTTAGCCCCTGGCCTCCCAAGCAGGGAGGGATGAAATCGCCAAATTCCCGGCCCCGGTTTCAGTTGCGATTTGAGCTTGAAGATTACCCGGACAGCAAAACCATGATCAGAGACCGGCTCATCCGGCGAGACGTGCGTAACTGACACCAGGCGCGGGAGCAAGGATTGAGAGGCTAAAGCTCGATCTATCCGTGAACTCTCCTGATGTGATTGTGAGTAAAAGGTGAACTCTCGTTCACTTGGGTGAAGGAATCGAAAAGCATCTGAGACGTCAAAGGCTTTACAGTGGTGGTAGAGGAAGTCATTCTCTTTAGTTGATCCGTGTCTGGAGGTTTTATCAAGCAGTGGATTCTCAATGGTATTAAGGTCACCTAGGATGAGCAGGTGGGTGCCTGGCTGAATCTGGCCTAGAATCGGACCAAGCACTATCCTGACGAAGGCTCGCTTCTCAGCTTTGTCTGCAGGTAAGTAAGTTGCTATCAGGGTAAGTCGAAGGTTTGAACAGTGAACTTTAGTCTTAACAAGTCTTCCTGAGGGGTGAGCTAAAGGGTTGTGAAAGGAAAGGTCCGTTCGCCGGCTGAGAACTGCAACACCTCCGGCTCGAGTCACAGAGGAGGTGGCAGCAAAAGAGGTGAGATTGAGGGAAGACCAGTAGGTGTTATCGTCTGTTATTCGCGTATCTGATAAAACCATTACATCTGCTCCTTTGTTGCTGTTAATCCATGCCGTTGTACGTTTCCGCTTCGTGAAGTCCCCCAGGCCGTTAACATTCAGGCCCGCAAACGACAACGTATTCCGTGTATTCATTTAATAACTCCTTGATCGCCTCTACGCATCCACAGGCAGGTAAGACAGAGTACACCAAGAACTACCGCTCCAACTGATATCACCATGGCAAGCCGATCTGGGTCTGTTAAATCCCATACTCCTTGCGGGCTGTATGCAGGTTCTCCTTTTCCCTTGTCAGACGAGTGACCGCACCCAGCTCCCCTTGTCCGTGCAGATGACGCGCAGCAGTTATGTGCTCTGCAGCAGCGACAAGCAGCATCCCATGCGCTTTCCCGCAACAAATCTGAGTACAGATCCACTCTTCCCTGGAGCTTCCGGTGGAGATCAGGACAATAGCCGGGTCGAGCAGAATCGGACGCACCAGGCGCGAAGCAGTCAGGGAAGCAGCTGCGACAAGCGGCTAAACGGTTAGGAGTTGGATGACAGGTAAGACAATCTGAACTGCTTAAGCGTGTAAGTGTACTGTTACCATTGATCCCATGCACATGTTCAGGCTCAAGTTCCACTTCCCTATGTTATGCTGCCGGTCAGTGGTGAAGGCATAATGGTATTTCTCATAATGCGGACCCCCACAGAGCCGGCAGGAGAGCTTAGGGTAGGATCCAGCGGTTTGTGAGAATTGATAGTTGGAGGAGGGATATTTGGGAAACCACAACTTCTAGGCGGTTTTCCCAGCAGCACACTAGCCTAACTAAGTTTCTGCAGCCCACTGCCAGATGTTTGTGTGAGCCTGGAGACGATGAGGTTCTTTCGGGCACCCTCTCATTCAGTGCCACGTGGACGTAAAAGAGGTTTCATTTTGCTTCCAGCCACACGTATCGTGTGGCTCTGACCCCCCTAGTCTCCAAAACGAGTCGCGGTGCATTCTCAAAAAAATCGTCTCGAGAATGCCTTTTTCTGCACTTTTTCTCATCCACTCGCTTCACTTTCACAGCTTGACTTGCTCCGCTATTGGCTTGTCTCCCCCATATTTCTCCGCCGACACTTCGTTGGCAGGGCACGGCAAGGCAATGGCTGCTCTGCTGTATTCGCCAGTCCTGCTCCTCGCGCCACAAACTAGCCGTTGCACTCACTTGTCGTATGTTCTTACAGCATCAAATCCTTTCTCCCGACGCGCCTCTCTCCGCAACCTCCGTGCCATCTCTGCAAGCAAGACCTGGCGGTCGTTCAACGCGCGAATAACGGACGATGTCGCCAAACTATCCTGTGGCGCCTTTTGTGGCTTGGATTCGCCACGTGTCCACCCACAGCGTCGGTCTCCCCTTTGCTGTAGTCAGTTTGTTCTCGGCACTCCTCGTGTCGCATCTGCCTCGACGCAGCCAGCTAACGTCCTTCGGCATCCTCCTCCTCCTCGTCGCGTTTCTCCCTCTCCCCCATACGCCTGTAAGGCTTCGCTGCTTTGGTCCAATATCGGCATGCTCGCGTGCTCTAAAGCGCATTCCGCTGATCGGTAGAACGCATTACTTCAGCTGAACGCCGCCGGCTTCCTCCTATCGCACCACCTCTCCCCGTCGTCCTCCTCGCGGTCCTTAGATTCGCCTAACGGCTCGCAAAGCATCCACTCTCCGTGCTCGCCGCTCTCTGCTCCTCGCCACTAGCCTCACGGCGTGCGTAGCGGCAGCACGCGTTACCGGCCGCGCCGCTTGCTCCCCCGCAAGCATGTTCTGAGGAACGGTGCCATTTTTCAATAATCTCTCGCAAGGAGCGGCGCGCGCGTGGCGCCGGACGCCATGGAGCACGAAATGGATGACGCGCAACCCGCGCCGCCTTTCACGGCGGTGTGCACGCATCGTCTGGTCGTGAGCAGCCCCAGCAAAGACGGCCACGCCAGCCCCGGTTCGCCCGAGGTACGTCGCTCGCCGCCTCGTCGCACTCACGCGCTCGCCAGACCTTGCGACGCTGCGCTCGTTCCTGTCGCACTCACGCCGTTAATTATCAAAATTTATGCACTGTCGTCGTGTTGCTTGTCGTTTTGCCTGACGTGGCGTGACTGCGGTTCGCGTGGTTGGTGCAGGTGATGTCGGTGCTGGGCGGCAAGGCGTCGTGCCGGCGGAAGTTCGTCCTGCACGTGCAGCTCACGGACGACCAGGTACGTGCTGCTGCGCTCTCCCACCCACACGCGCGGACGGGTGGCGGGCGGAAGGGGAAGAGTCGCGTGAGGCAGCGCGCGTGCGGGCAGCATCTGATCTGCGCCATTCCTGTCCCACGCTCTTGCCGTTTCCCCCCACCCTCCTCCACTCGGCTCACCTCTGCCTCGCCTCCTTCTCCGTGCCCCGTGCCCCGTGCCCCGTGGCCCCCATGGTGGTGCATGCAGGGTAACCCGGTGAGCAAGGACCTCGCTGTCACGGCCTCGCTCACCTACTCGCACGACTGCAGGTACTCCGGTGCCCCCGCCCTCTCCCCCCTCCGCCCTCTCCTCCCCCCGTCCTTCTCCCCAGTCCGCCCTCTCCCGTCTCACACTCTCCCTCTCATCAGCCCGCTCTTTCACCCTCTCGAGGGATACAATCATTCATGCACCTGCTCTTCCTTCTTCCTCCACGCCTCTCTCCTTCCGCCACCTGCTATTATCACTCCTCCTCCAACTCCCCCGTTCCTCACCATCCCTTTCGCTACTGCCTTCTCCCCTACAACCCCCCTTGGTCCCCCCTTGCGCATGAGCAGTGCGGTGAAGCTGGAGGAGGGACAGGCGATGGTGGAGCCACCGCTCTTCACCACTTTCAACGGCGTCGAGTTCCCCGCACACCTCCGCCCCTCACAGATGCTCGCAGGTAGACCTACATGTGCTCACAGTACTTTCCCTGTCTGTTTCCCTGCCGATACGCTGCTCTCCTTGCCCCTGCCCCTGGATCCACCCTAACTGCTGTCTCCTCTCTGTTCCACATCCCTCCAACCCCCCTCCCTCCCACAGGGCGAGCAACGTTCAAGCTGGCGCTGTCAGTGCTATCATCCAAGTGTGACAACCGCCTGTTCGCCGTGTGCTTCACGGCCGCCACGCCCCTCAACGCCCCCACCCCCCTCAACGCCGACGGCTCGCCTCTGCTCGTCGCCCCCGGCTACTCCCGCGCCATTCGCAGGTAACACAGGTTCACTCGCACATGTTTTGACGCAAAACCAGCTTTCCCACGCATGAGCACGTGCCTCATCACCATTCCTCTCCGTTCCTCACTGCCGCTTCCCTGCCCTCCGTCCCGCCAGCATCTCTCGCAAGCGATCCCGCAACGCTGGCCCTGGTGCCGCTACTGCCAACAGAGGCGGCGGCAACGGCAACGCGAGCAGCAGCAGTGCGAGCCACGGCAGTGCAGGGCAGGGCAGCCACGGCAACCACAGCAGCCACGGGCTGCACCTGGCGTCCAACGGGCTGCAGCTGCCGTCCAAGCTCGCCTTCCTCGCTCCCGTGCACGTCCCCGCTGGGTAACACTCTTCCCTTCCTCGCTCCCGTGCACGTCCCCGCTGGGTAACACTCTTCCCTTCCTCGCTCCCGTGCACGTCCCCGCTGGGTAACACTCTTCCCTTCCTCGCTCCCGTGCACGTCCCCGCTGGGTAACACTCTTCCCTTCCTCGCTCCCGTGCACGTCCCCGCTGGGTAACACTCTTCCCTTCCTCGCTCCCGTGCACGTCCCCGCTGGGTAACACTCTTCCCTTCCTCGCTCCCGTGCACGTCCCCGCTGGGTAACACTCTTCCCTTCCTCGCTCCCGTGCACGTCCCCGCTGGGTAACACTCTTGCCTTCCTCGCAGCCCCACCGCCCATCTCTTTTCCAATCCCTCTCCACCACTTTCTGCCGTTCTCCACCACTCTTCTGAGCACCTCCGCGTTCCCCCTCTTTACTTCCCCTCTCATTCTCTTTCTCTCCCCTTCTCTCCCCTTCCCTTCCCTTCTCTCCACTTTTCTCGCCTCCCCCCTTTCTCCACAGGCCACTCCTCTTCCCACCGGCCTCCGCCCTCTCGCCCGCACCGCGCCGCTGGAGGGGCAAGGCCAGCCACGAGTTCATCACATCGCCACCCGCTGACGTGGCGCATGACCTGCCCTCGTGGCGCATGTGCCCCTCGCCTTCCGCGCCCCTCCTCTGCCCCTCCCCCTCCTCCCTCCTCCCCTCCCCACAAGGCCCCCACAAGCCTCGCTCGCTCCCCCCCACGCCCTCTCTCCCCATCCCTTCCCCCACGGGGGGAGTGGCGCACTCCCCCTCCCCCCGGGCGGCAGCAGCAGCAGCGGCCATGCCGTCACCATCACCACGAGCGTTTTCCACGTCAGCACCATCGCCAACTGGCACAGTGGGGTCAACGAGTGCCATGTCAGCACACGGCTCGCCTGCCATTACTGCACGACCCTCCCCCTCCCTGCCACCCCGCTCCTCCCCCTCCATCGCACCCCGTCCTTCCCCACCTGCACCTTCCCCAGCTGCGCCCTCCCCTGCCCCATCACCCGCCCCAGCTACGCCCGCCCCTGCTCCATCTCCCTCCCTGGACTCATCTATGGCAGGCAGCAGTGGCTGCCACGTCAGCAGCGAGCAGATGATGAGTCAGGAGGCCACGTGGAGCACTGGCGCTACAGATGCTCGCCCTGCTCCCGCGCTCGCCCCTCCTGCGCCTCTTGCTCCTTCTCCTCTCTACTCTCATGCTCCCCCTCGTCCTCCTGCCCCTCCTCTCCCTGTCTCTGCCTCTGACCCGCCAGCACACCCCCCTGGTTCCTTCTCCCACTACCTCACCACGCCACTCGTCTTCCCCTCCTCCCTCCTCCTCTCCACGCCCCACCACGCTCTGCCGCCCAAGACTCTGAGCTACAGCCAGAGCTACAGCGCCTGCTACAGCCGCGCTCCTGCTGACGCCTATGCAGCCCCAAGTGTGCCGGGGCCTGGATGTGGGGTTGATGAGAGAGGGGACGAGGCAGCAGCAACATATGGGGAAGCGAGCGCAATGGTACATGGCGGTTCGTGGGAGTGCATGTTTTGTCCGGGCATGCTTATGCTGCCCATCTCTGCTCGTCTTACTCATACCTCCAAGAATATTTACCCTCCCTTTTTCCTCCCTTCCCTTTCCCTGCCGCTGTCTCTCTCTCCCTCGCTCCTTCCCTGCCTGCTCGTCTCGCCACTGCAGGTACCAACCGGCCAGTTCACCGGCCAGTTCACCGGCCAGTTCACCGGCCAGTTCACCGGCCAATCCACGGACCAATCGGCGCTGCTGTACCGCCACGTGCCCTTGCAGCAGATCCCAGAGCAGGCGGCCGAGTTCCTCGTCCAATCAGAGCAGTGCACGTGGCAGCAGCCCCTGCAGCACGCAGTGAAGATGGAGACAGACGGGGAGGAGGAGGAGGGGATGCACGAGGGGCAGGACCATGGATTAGGGGGTGGGCATGCGGATGCAGAGAGCAAGGAGGGCGTGAAGGGGTGTGGTGATGGATATGCGGCAGACCTACAAGTGCCATCGCTCCCTCTCGCCCACATCAACACCTCCCTGCACCCGCACCACCATCGGCATCAGCAGCCGTTCCACCCCACCCACCACCACCACCAGCAGCAGCACCAGCACCAACAGCTGTCGGCCTTTTTATCGGAGGAATCATTTCAAGGGAGCTTGTCTCCCTTCAACTCCCCACTTGGTACGTCTCGCTTCACCTCTCTCTGCTCACCTCCTGCTTGCTGCCCTGCCACTGCCATGGCTCCACTTATCCCTCCACTCTCACCTCCCCCTCCTTCCATCTCTCCACCTTTCCATCCATTTTTGCCATCCCCCCTCCTTCGTTTTCATTTCAAGCACCATTCGTCTTTGCTTTTCCTCCTCCCCTTCTCAACGCCCTAAACTTCCCTCTCCCTCCCCCCATCGCCCCTCTGCAGCGGACCCGCTATTCGGGCCGCTCATGAGCCCCTTCTCGCTGTCGCCCGGCCCGGGCCTGCCAGCCATGCCGCTGCTGGACCCCTTCAAACTCTTCCCCCCCGCTGCCGCCGCCACCATTGCCCCCGCCGCTGTCACCCTCGCTGCTGCCGCCGCCGCCGCTGCCGCCGCCGCTACTGCTGCCGCCGCTGCCGTCGCAGGCGCAGGGGTCGGGGGGTCAGGCCCACTGGGTGCATCTGCAGGGGGGTTTGGAGCAGAAGAAATGTGTGTGGCGTCCCCTCTCTCCTTCCCCCTGCCCCCGCCCTTCCCCCTCCCTCCGCCCTTTCCCCCTCCGCCTGCCTTGCCCTCCGCGGCGTCCTTTGCCCTGCCTGACTCCCCCGGCACCCAGGCCGCCCTGGAGCAGTGCGCCTGCTCTCCCCTGCTGGGGGACGCGGGGGGTGGGGAAGAGGGGGGCGGAGGAGGAGGGGAAGGGGAGGGAGGTGGAGAGGAGGAGGGGTGGATAGAAGGTGCAAGGGAGGAGGACACTGGGGAGAAGAGCAGCGGCAGTGGGGCGATGGGAGAAGGAGCGAAGGCGAGCAACACGCATGGTGCTACTGTCACAACACCTTTCATCGACTTGTCGCCGGATAAGACCTTCCCTGCGTACGCCTCGCCTCCAGATAAAGCCTCCCCCTACTCCCTGCCACCGCATGCCTCCTCCTTTCTGCCCGCCCAGGACTCCCCCTGCCAGGCCTCTAACTCCTCCACCCCCTCTGGGGCCCATGCCCGCCATGAGGGCAGGGCGGAGAGGGCGGAGAGGGGCGAGGGCAGGGGGAGGCGGGCTCTGTTCTCTGGGGGACAGAGGCAGCCGTCCCGGCTGGGGGAGAGGGGCAGACGCAGCTCAGAGCGGGGCGAGGGCAGCAAGGGGGCGAGTGAGGGTGAGAGTGGGGAGGAAAAGGGAGCACCTGCACCAGCAGCAGGGCCAGGGGGGGCATCGGCACATGGAGGCCCAAGCAGCAGCGCGCTGACAGCCAGCCACAGCATGTCCCCTTGCGGGGGCAGCAGGGCGAGGGGTATGTGTGCGGGGGTGAAGGGGCGAGCATCACACCTCAAGGGGCTCACCATCAAAGCCCCGCCCCGCCCCTCCCTGCGAGCCAACCAGTCCCTCTCCGCCTTCTCCCCCTACCGCTCCCCCTCCTCGCGTGGCCCCAACCTCTCCCCCCTGCCGCGCACCGCCTCCCCCTGCACCATGTCCCCCCGCCTGCTCTCCCCTGGAATGCTCTCGCCCCTCGGCCGCGTCCTCGCTCACTTCGGCAGCCCCCGGGGGGGCATGGGGGCCGCCTTGTGGGGGGAGGGCGCAGGGTCATGGGGGAGGGCGGGGGGGAAGGAGGGCATGGGGATGGATGTGAAGGGGGAGTGGGGCAAGGAGAGCAGCAGTCTGTGAGGATACAGGGGGGGTGGGAAGGGGGGTTAGAGGAAGCTTCATGGGGCAACGGCTTGGAGTCGAAACAGAGTGCAGCAGTGCGCTCAGCTGCTGGGAGGAGCAATCTGGTCAAGAGGGCCACAGGCGGCATGTATACACGCTGAAAGGTTGGTTGGGTACAGTTTTGTTTCCAACAAGGTTGTATATTGTGCTATTTAATAACGATGTGGTGTGTCCCTGCACTTCAGTACAGGCTTGCTCCGTGCCGAAACGGTGCTGTGCATTGCAAATACCGCAGTTGCGCGCATGGTTCAGTCTGGTGAAAGTCTGTACTATGGTGCAGTGCTGAGGATACACCCCTCTGTGCATTCATTTAATGTCCATTTGATTCCATTCCATGCAACAATGGCTGAATGTACTGTATACAGTATTCGAGCAATTGTTTTCCAGCCATGGTGCAATGCAGTACATGCCCCTCTTTTGCATATGATACAATAACTGGTACTGTATCTGCGATACAATATGGCATTACATGAGCTTCCTTTGCCGATAAGGGGTGGCTGACTATTGCAAGTACAGCGCGTGGAAATGGGGCCAGCAAGAACAAGCAGATACGCGGATGATGCGCAAGAGAACCACTTGACGTCCCTGCTTGTCCTCACTCAGATGCCTTCACATACCTGCCACCCCCACACCCTACTTCCTTGGAACCCCTTCGCAGCAGGTGCCGGTGTGCGTGTCGGGGGCGACCACGCCCAGAAACGACGGTCGCGAGGAGGTCATGAGAAAGAGTGGGAGGAGGAGACGAAGGGGCGTGCAACGGAAGAGAGAAGGGGAAGGGGTGGCTGCCTTCACATACCCGGCACCCCCACACCCTACTACCTCGGGCCCCACCCCTCGCCCTGGGCCCGAGAGGGAGATCTTCTTTCAGGTGGTCGTTGATGACTACTCATGCTAAACCTCCGTATTCCCCCTGACGAAGAAGTCTGACGTGACTTCTACGCTGATCCGGTGGTTGCTGGCCAATGAGATTACCTGTGGCCGTCGTGTCAGTTGTCTTCATTCCGAACGTGGGGGTGAGTCTTAAGAGTGATGCGTAACGGAATGGTGAGACTAGGAAAGCAAGGCAGTACAAATGTGAAACCCTAACTGATTTGTACTCACTAAGGAGCACCTCATTACAGCCTATAACAGATAATAACATTTGACACACCCCCTTAGGCTAAGTGAGGGGCATCAAAGCAAGCAGGGTGAACAAACGGTCACAAGACCAGTCAACACAAGAAGCAAAGCAAGCTCAGGGTGGATCTCAAGGACACCACACAAGCAAGCGGCCACAAGGTCAGTTTAAGAGGGTACAGCATAATATGTAAAGGCACTGACAAGCAGAACACGCAACAAGAGCAACACTACAGCAACCGTGGGCCTACCTCAACAAGCCCTAGCTGCACACAGAATCTGTGGTGGTCACCAGGCGCCAAGGCCTTGGTGAAGACGTCGGCAGCGTTGGTCTCTGAGGCCACAAAGTCCAAGCGTGCCTGGCCGCGTTGCTGTAGCTCTCGCAGGAGAAAGTACCTCATGTCAATATGCTTCACTCTGCTCTCCAGTCAAGGCTCTCGACACAGGAGGATCATGGCCTTCTTGTCAGCGTACAAGGTCGGTGCAGAGCGAGGCCGCTCACCAAGGTCGGTGAGCAAGAAGGTCAACAAGCGAAGCTCTTGTGCCGCCATGGCACCAGCGTAGATCTCTGCCTCTGCAATGGACAAAGCCACAAACGAAGACCATGTAGACCTCCACGACACAGCATCAGCACCCAGACTAAAGCAGTATCCTTGAGTCGAGCGCTGAGTCTCCACGTCGTCAGCGTAGGAAGAGTCGCAGTGACCGGTCAACACAACTGGTTGTGTCCTTCCAAGCACAAGCCCCATGCCTGATGTAGTCGCCAGGTACTTTGCCACCCTCACAGGAGCTGTCCAGTGAACAGGACGGTGTCTCCTAGCTGCAACAAAGCGAGAGAGGACGCTGAGGGGAAAGGCGAGGTCCGGCCGAGTACAAGTCATCAGGTACATGAGGCAGCCCACAAGCCCTGCGTAGGGGCCACTGGACTCAAAGGGCTCGTCGGGAAAAGGGCCAATGAGTCAGTGGTCAACCGCCAGAGGAGTGGGCTGTGTGGTGGAGAACTGAAACCCGAACCGCCGAAGGACCTGCTGCACAATGTGTGACTGAGTCAGTGTGATGGTGCGAGCGGCTCTGTCCCTGGTGATCTGCAGGCCAAGGTAGCGCTGCAGTTCACCGAGGTCTGTGCACTTATGTCTCTTCTGCAGTTCGGATTTCACCTCACCCAGAGCTGCCCTGTCTACTGTAGCAAAGACCAAGTCGTCGACGTACGCTAGTATAAAGAAAGGAGTGGAACCAGTGCGAACAAACAGCGATGGGTCAGCAGAGGAAGGACGAAACCCAAGGTCACGAAGCGTGGAGCGAAGAGTGTCATGCCACTCACAGGGCGACTGGCGGAGACCGTAGACTGGCCGCCTCAGGCTCCACTGGGTCCCAGGTGGGAAGGTGTCAGTGAAGCCAGGAGGACGGCGCAGCCAGATCTCCTCATGTAGACGGCCCTGGAGAAACGCAGTGGAGAATTCAAGGGAGTGCAGCTCGTAGTCTCGCTATGCTGCTACGTGTAGTAACACCCGAAGAGTAGTCATCTTCGGGGTCGGGGCGAAGGTCTGGAAGAAGTCAACTACCTCACGCTGACTGAAACCCCTAGCCACGTAGCGCGCCTTGAACACAGGCGGTGAACCAGACGGCCGCTTCACCTTAAGAGCCACATGCCATCGACAATGTTCGCCCTGGGAGGGGGAACTACGTCGACGTACGTACCTGTGGATCTCCAAGATGCTAGCTCTGCATCCATGGCTGCTTTCCACTAAGAGGCCCACTCCCCTGACACTGCCTCACGGTACGTGCAAGGTGTCGGTATGTCAAGGGCGTCGGGGTCTCCCTCAAGGGAAAGCAGCATGGCGCAGAGAGAGGGGGAAGCGGCTTCTAAGAACTCCAACTCAAAGTGCTTGTCCTCTAGGACGTCACAGCCAAGGGCAGACTCACTCCCGACAGACAGAGGACGGGGAGGTGGAGCAGCCACCACACGCGTGGCGTAGTCAAGATGGCGGGTGGAAGCGAAGTCAGCGACAGCGGCAGTAAGAGCCGAGACAGACGACGGAGAGGCACGAGGGACGGTGACAAGAGAGGCAAGAACACGAGAGACAACAGGGCGAGCAGCACGGTAGTAGTCAGTGATAGGGTGAGAGGAAACGGTGAGAGACAACGCAGGAGGTGAGGGGAGAACAGACACAGGCGGAGAACGACAAGGAGGAGAATGAAACAAGACGGTGCGGAGGTCGGCAAGAGGAGACGAGGGCCAAGCACGTGGAGGACAACGTCTGGTCCAGTCGTGCCAGACAACAGGAGGAGGCGACGAAGACTGAGGAGGAGAGAAAACAGCCGGAGTCGAGTCCGGAGGAGGAAACGTAGGACCGTATGCGGTAGGAGACTGTGAGTGAACAAGAGGAGAGGAAGGAAGACCAAGGGCGCGAAGGCCACTCGCTGGAGGGAACAGCTGCTGTAAAAGTGACGGCTGCTGCTGCTGCTGCTGGTCCAACCGCTGCAACTCCTGCCTCTCCCGCACCAACTGCTCCTGCTCCTCGCACTCAAGCTGGCAAAGGGCCTGAAAACGGGTGTCGTGGCGGTGGGGAGGCGCAGTGGGCGACGCAGTAGGCGAGCCTCTAGCTCGTGTCTCCCTAGTACGAGCTCCTACAGCGCCAGCACCTCCTGCTCTAGCACCCCCGGAACTAGCACCGCCAGTGTGAGCACCTCCAGCTCCAGCACCCCCATAACTAGTACCTCTAGTGCCAGTACCTCCAGCACCAGCACCCCCAGAACTAGCACCTCCAGTGCCAGCACCTCCAGCTCCAGCACCCCCAGAACTAGCACCTCCAATGCCAGAACCTCCAGCTCCAGCACCCCCAGAGCTAGTGTCACCTGCGCCAGCACCCCTTGAACGTGCACCCCCAGACCGAGTACTGCCAGTGGCTGCACCTCCTGCTCCAACACCAACCGAGTCCACAGTAACCTGTCGCGGAAGTGCCGAAGGCTGCTGAGGAGACTGTGAGGAGGACTGCGGGGAGGGAGACGCTACCTGACGCGCGACCGAGGGTAGAGGGGTAGCGTGAGAGACACCTGATGGGGCAGGACTAGGGGGGGGTGGGGGTATCGGAGGAGCGGGAGCAGGGGGAAGAGAGGGTGTGAGGAAGAGGGGGGGAGGAGGAACCGGGAGACCTCAACAGGGGTACCGGGTGTAGTAGGACACTGACTCGTCAAACCGGACGCCACGAGAGTCTAGAAACTGGTGGAGGGGCGGGTGGTAAAAGGACTAGTCGGGAGAGCCCACTGGGAAACCAAGGAAGACACAGGGGATGGCGTGAGTCGAGAGCTTGTCTGCAGAGATGTTGCAGACAAGCGCAAGGCAGCCCCAGATACAAAAGACCGACCCAACACCAGGGGACCCAGTCCAAAGACAGGTTGGTGAAAACTCTGGCCGCGAGACACGCGGATGGAGGTTCAGCTGGTGCGCAGCGTAGCGAAGCGCGTAGGGCCACAGAAAATGGGGCGCACGGGCATGGATCATGGATGTGCGGGCGATGTCCATGACCAAGCCAATGCGGGCGCTCAGCAACCCCATTCTGCTGTGGGGACTCCGGCAGCGTCCAGGACTGTCTGATGCCCTGCTCGCCACAAAACCCGGCAAGGACGCCGGAGCGAAACTCACCCCCACGGTCGAAGTGGAGACAACGAACACGACTACCACGAGTGCCCTCAGTGGCCAGAAGCCACCAGATCAGAGTAGAAGTCACCCCGGACTTCTTTGCGAGAGGAAACACCGTGGTGTACCTGGAGTAGTCGTCAACGACCACTAGAAAATAGCGCTCCCTCTCAGGTCCGAGCATAGGGGCAGGGCCCCAGACGTC